AGGGAGAAGGATAAAATCTCAAGGTTGTTGAGAAGTTTTGCGTAGGGTAATTTGTGTTTTGAATTAGAGGAGGGTCTTTCTGTTATAGAGAGACTTGTACTTATAGCTTTCAGTTCTTGCTTGGCACGACCTAGTAACTTTGTAGAGTTCAATCGGGATTTTACCACCTCCTCCACCTAATATGTGACATCAAAATCCCAAATCCCTGATGTAGACCACATGCATTCGTGACAACGGCCCCAGGAAACAATTTCGATATTTGATGGTATTGTACCATGCATATCCTTCCCTTAATGCCACGTGCTTTATTAGATGACTTATCTTTTGCATGCCTCCTAAAACTATGTTTCCTAGTCCAAGTATTTGATGACCTCCACGTGCTGGAACCAAGGCATGCAAATAATTAGCATGCAAGTTTATCTCCTAGCCAGTGGCGAAGCCAGGAATTGTCGGGATGAGGGGCGAAATTTAAAAAGGTAAGGTTCTAGAAATGTAGACAACCAAATCTTTTTAGATAGTAAACAATAGCAAAAACATCTCTTTTAATGTAAACAACTTTGCTACCACTAAACCGTTGATCTCTCATTTTGTTACACAGTGATGGTTTCACAATATTCATAGCAAAAAACGCTCTCTTTACTTAAGTGGTTGCAATTGGTAACTCGGTGTTTACCTCATTAAAGCAACCATTCAATTCTTTTAGTTGCATACCAAGGACTTGAAAGTAAGTTTGTAAGTCTTGGAGTTTTAGGCCTTGATTTTCCGGGTGTGAAATGCAAATCCTCTATGTTAGGAACATTAATATCATTTTCCTCGCAAATTTTTTAGACATTATGAAACAAGTCCTCAAAGTCACATCAGAAATTCGTTAAAAGTAGTGATGACTAGAAAAAGATATACATATTTGAGTATGAATGTGAGGCTTAATTCACTCACCAACCTTTTTATTGTAGAAATTACCGTTTGTGATAAAAGAAAAATCAACATTAAGGTAATTTTAAGTATTGAAAGTCTTAATATCATGTCCAAAACAATTAATTAGGGACCGATCAAAAGATCCAACCAAAACCAAGACAAACCATTAACAAAAAACAAAGGGACCAAGTCAAATAGAAGAAAAGACAGAAGCGGAAAAAAAAAACAAAAAAAAAAAGGAAAAATGAAGAAAAGCAACAAAAGAAAGAAGAAAAAGTAAAATGCAACGTTTCATTTAAGAGGCATGGAGAATACGACGTCGTTCGGTCAAATGTTTTTCTTTTAAAACACACATTTTCTTTTCTTTTCTTCTTCCTTGCACATGAGCTACCTTTTCTGCAACGGGCACCCCATTGATGCCATGGTTTTCCGACAATAGGATGGGCGAAGGGAGTGGCTGAACCCGAGCTCCAATCGTGTTTTTCGGCAAGGGGAGTGACGGCCGCCACTCTTCACCCTCACGTAGCTTCGCCACTGTTCCTAACCATGCATTTCAACCGAGGCATCACAACAATCAACTCTTGATCTTTCCACCAAGTCAGTCCAGGTGCAATCATGCATTACGAAAAAATTCAACTTGATCACATATCCCAACCTTCCACGTGTATACATGTGCCGACTAGCCGACTAGAGAATTGCAAATGAATTGCAATTCTTCTCCTAACCATTGGTTATTATATAACCATTCTTATTTAATATTATCTCATGCAGAGAAACTTATTTCCAAACAAACGTCAGGATATTGATCATATTCAGTCTAGATAAATTGATATATTATTAAAAGATAATATCATGTTTAAAACCATAATATATCCTTCAATAATAATTATCTTAACTATTTTGTCATCCAACGGTTGACAGTTGTTCACTTGATAGCCTTCATTGCATAAGCTAATAGTGTAAAATCGAGTCCAAACATTGCCCTCAAGTTTCCTTGAACTTCGGCTCGTAAGCCAAATGGTTAAGGAAATTAATTGTTCGTAGCCAACGAAATCCTGTCATATCCTGAAAACTCTTCTTCGGCAATAACATCTTTGTTCTGCCAACGTTGTGGCTGCAACAATTATATACTAGGCTCAACAACTTTACTAGAAAAACCTTGCAATCACTTTGACCCCACACCAGTCGATCGAAAAACTCAAAACTTGCTTTAGGGGCCGAGAAAAACCTAATTCTTGGTAACTTGGCCTGCCACCAATCATGAATGTTTTGTTCACTTCTCGGTAGTGGCATCCTGAAGCAAGCCAACTATATATATATATATATTTGTTGACCCTAAAAGTTTCTAAGCCTACGTGGCGCTTAAATCGAGTAATCAATAAGCTAACTATGTCCATAGGTTATGTGCGGGGTGTGCCAACTCGACGGTCAAGCTCGGCCGATGAGTAAAATATGTGGTTGTGGCATTGAGCGTGCTGCTGACTTCTTGATCTTGTGACTACGGCTGAGGAAGGAACACATATCGGCCTTCGGGTTCTAAAGCCTAAAGACAAGGCTGCTAGTCTTGCGAAGTTCACAGATTGTTGGCTCCGGGTTCGGTCACGTGATTATATTCGTAAGAGTAAAAGCACGCCGAACCGGCACCAAACTATACGGATACAAGTACTTGAAAGAGATGTATGTCTTAATGGTGAATGTGGTTCGATCGTCAGAATGCCGAACTCTAAAACTAACTCGTAAATATCTAATCATAAAACAACTCGGCGTTCAATATGCCGAGCCCAGTAATCTGTAACACCTCACTTTGCGGAGAAAGCTAATGAGATGACCTCTGCTAATAAGGACTCGAAAATCCTTCTTGACCGAGACTTGGATAGGTAATCAGTCGGCCCCAACGCAGTGCTGTTTATCCAAACTGAAGGTGCTCCACGGTCGACTAATTCTACGGCAACAATGTTGTTTATCCAAACTGAAGATGTCACTGGTTGCCTTCACAGTCTATTTATCCAAACTGAAGATGTGTTGGCGGAAAAAAAAAAATAAATCTCAAGGTTGTTGAAAGGTTTCGCGTAGAGTGAGAGTTTGCGCAGGGCAGTTTGTGTATTGAATTGGAGAGAGCTCATTCTCATTACCACTGCCTCTGTATTATAGGGACGTGCTGACTTGATCCTTGAATTTTGCATGATATTTTTGGCATGGATCAGACTCAACTAAATGCATGGACTTATCATGCAATTATCCAACCAATTTAAAATCTAGCTCCATCATTATCTCCTTTTCTGCTTATTTTGTCTATCATTATCCAAGTATTTGATGATCTCCACGTGTTGGAACCAAGGCATGCAAATAATTAGCATGCAAGTTTATCTCTTAGCCATGCATTTCAAACCGAAGCATCACGACAATCCACTCATCTTTCCACCAAATCCAACCAGGTGCAATCATGCACTATCAAAAAGTTCAAACGTGATCCCATCTTTTCCATCCTTTCAAAGCCCACGAGTTCCAACCTGATGCAATTTGTCCGACTAGATTCTTGGCATCCTGCCAAGGATATTCGAGGGTGCACTTTATTCCATCATCACTTTATAATTTTTATCCATGCATGCATAATAACCTTCTACTGCCTAAGTGAACTCCAAATTCATTTGTTTTATCACCATACTTTAAATGGATAATAATCAATTTGCAGCATACCACTTGAATCTGTCAGTCAACCAAACTGATCTTACCCACACATTCACACGCCAAACATCCAAAATCAACTTGAATTGTGCAACCGTGTTTCCAGCTTGGTTACATATCTCATCTTAATTATCATTAAAAGATAATTATGATAAAAATCAAAATATTATCCTTCAATAATAACAAAATGATCTTCACTCTTCAATCTGACGGTCAAGAGCTATACTTACTCAACGTCCTTGATTGCACTGGCCGATGATGTAATTTTGAATCCAAACAATATTAAACCCCACATCGAAACTCAATTGAATGTGTTCTGCCACCATGCATCTTTGATAGTCCTTCCAACTGAGCCCTGCATGTATAATGTTGAACTTGCATGCATTTCTACCGCCGAAAAATTTGGCCCATTGAACAGTTCCATGGCAGCATTTATGGACTTGGCAGACGATCAGAACTTGGGATGTAACCAAGTTCAATCAAATTTGAAACACCGCACCCAACCCCTCTCAGTTTCACCGAACCCCTTGAAACATAAAAGAAATCCAATCAATGTCAAACTCGACATGGCATTGGTCGAATGGGTCGATACCACCGAGCTCGGCTAACAATAATTGATGCCACTGGGTTGAGACTCAAACCGAGATGCACTGCTATTACGGACATTTCACACCCTCCCTTGAGTCACTGCTGAAGATTTTTCTCTTTGGCACCGAGTTCTGTAGAAACCAACAGAACTTGGGCGAGCACACCACCGAGTTTTATGAAGCACGATGACATGGCGGGCCGATACAACTTCACCGAAACTCTGAGAATCAGTTTCAATCAACGCCAAACCGGATATGGAGTCCGTCGTGTACCGTCGAACCGGAAGAACTAACTAATTAAATCTTGAAATCCAGGCCTTGAATTCAAGTTGACTTGTGCAAAAATTTCAAATTCGAAGCTATCCACGGCAAACGTATCGATGCTGCCGAATAAGTTGATACCGAACTCGGCTCATAGCGAAATAGATGGGGTGCACGGTTGGCTTCCTCTAAATATTCGGTTACTACCAGCTTCTTGACAACGGAAAATGATGCCACTCTTTCAACCCCAATGGATCCCATCTTACTTCAACCGACAAATTACTGTCGAACTGAATGGTGTCGGTCGAATGGGTGGATACGACCAAAGTTGGCTCGTAGTTCGTACTCTTGGTGCGCACATCTCTACAAGCACCACCAAAGTTGGCCCCGTTCACTCTCGGACCATCCATTTAGAACACTTCAACAAGGCATACACTAAAATCAAGAGGGAATGAAAGCCTAAAAATGCTTTTATGCTTCTTTGGCTGGTAGCTTTTAAGCAATCATAGGAGAAATATATAAGTGCCTTGTTTTTTCTTTTGGTCGAAAAAGTAAGTAAATTAACTTCATTGGCAGCAAAATCGAACCACATTTCCTAAGCTCTAATTTAATTTATGAACATAAACACAAGATGATGGGGGCAATTTTAACTATACAAACAACCCCATCATGGCCAAAGCTAAACAAACAAACTGGTCTTCTCCAATGGCCAAATAGATATTGATCATCTTGGAGATTTTCTACTACTCCTCAAGTCAGATCCATTGATCTAATGAACCATTATTTTGCTGTCCCTCAGCTGCCTGTTTTTCTTGTGCTTTTTGGGCCTCCAGTATTTCAAGTGCTACATATTCTGCATCGTCGGACGGACGACCAAACTCTACGGTGGAGAATGAAGCCTCATGAGCACTGAAAGAAGGTGAAGTGTTTACTGATAGTGAAGTTTCAAGCGAAGCATCCAACGACAATCGTGCTGGGTTCCGAAGAGCTAGGTTTTTCCTGGCCCTGGCTCTCCATTTTTTCAGCCCTATCATCACATTTGCAGTAAACACGCCTTTTTTCATTGATGTACCCATCTGCGTGACCAAAGCATAGAGAGGCAGAGTGACATAGCCGCATAGGATTTGTACCATTACACCCATGGCCAGCCTTATGACAATATCCTCAGTTTCATGGTGGAAGCATGATGTAAGCCCAAATTTGTACTGTTTTATTTTATAGAAATTAAGAATTAGTTATGCAATTCGTAAAGGGAATTATCCCATTCGCAAAATTGAAACAACATATTAGGTTAAAATATTTACTTACCCAAGTCCATGTGAAGAATGCCAACTGAAAGGAATTCTGAAACACCCAGAAAAAATGACAAGTAGTTAGAAGATGATTATAGAGCATCAAAATTTTTTGTGCTTGACGTTCTTTAATAAGGAACAAACATACATTGTCATATTTTTTCGATAAAATGTTGCTACGTTTTGTTGGCGACTGTGATTTCGACTTACAATCAATGTTATAAAAACAAACTTCTGTTCTATAGCCGGACTGGGCAACGGAAAGTGCTTAGTACGGACTAGGTTTGTTGTGGATTTTGCGCGACAATTGCCTTAGTTTGTCATATGAAGGACGCTTAGGCGACAGAAAGTGCTCCGTTGCCTAACGTTTAGTCGCGCAAGTGGTGTTTTCTACCAGCGACTATATGGAATATAGATGATCTTGTTTGCTTATTTCCATTACACTGAACTTATAAGTTAACATATTACTAATTAAAGAATCACCTGAAACAGAATGAAGTGCAAAAGATGGAGAAGCAACTGGGGCCAGTTGAACCAGAAAAAGTGGTCACTGGGCTTCACAAGCAAAGCTCCTCTAACAACATGAGATTTATCATGGCTGTCTAGGCACATTTTAGTTATGATCTCCTGAAGCTTTGTTCCCACCAGCAAGAGCATCTGCAGAAAAAGAACAAAAGCATATCAAATTCAGAGATCTTATATCTCTAATCACAATTAGTGTGTTAATAAGGCATAAATGGTTTTAAGTATGTTGATGTTCTTACCACTAACGGAATAAAGGGAACCCACAGATAATTGTAAAAACCTGCAGATGACAGCAAATGGTTGAGTTAGCCAAATCAAACTCGATAATTAACCAGACCTATTTGATTAATTAAATGGATTCGGGTCATGTTACCATCTGCAGTGAAGAATATGACAACAGATACTGAGAACAGCCAAATCCACCAGCTGCAAAAAAAGAATAAAAATGGATCAATTATGATTATCCCAATTCTCGGTTGGAGGGGAGTATGTGCCTTGTAATATGTTCTATGCTCCTTAGTCATGCGATGACTGATGCAGTTTGAAACTGTTTTTAAAATAATTAATAGTGCTTTCAAATCGTCAAAAATGCTTCTGATAATGTTTGACATAAAAAGTTAGAAGTGCTTTCAGAATACAAAAAACACTTTAAGTGATTTCTAGAAGACGCATATGCTACTCTAAGTGCTTCTTTTATTAAAATGTCTATGTGCTTTTAACAAAAGCACTTTTAAGCATCGATATTTTTTAGAGAAGCACCTTCAAATGATAAAGAGATAACCATAAGGAGATATACAACTGGAAATTGTTATGCGAAAGAGTTAACGTCAAGTGGTTATGTTCATGAAGAGCCATCTTAATTATGTTTACCTTGATCCCATAACCACACCAAAGTCCTTCTCCAAATTTCGTCTTATATATTTCTGGAAGTCAAAACGGCTTCCTTCTGCAAAATGTGCCTAGAAGTAAAGAAGCAAAAGAAATCATTAAATTTGACCATGCATGTTTTGATTTATTTAAAGAGAAATTCTAAGGAGACTCTCTCAAACCGTTAAATGCGAGACGCTTCATAAACTTTCTGTCACCTTATGTTTTTAGCACAATATTTTATAATATTGACACAAAAATTAGCGTTAAATTGTGAGGTGCCAGAGAATCCATAGATAAACCTGCATTCTCCTTAGAATTTCTCTTATTAAATTGGATTGGAATTTTCTAATACCGTTATGAATCCATGTCTGAGAGTGAAGTAATCCACTCTTGATACAGAATTAAAGAATTGTCTCAGAAAGCTGACCTGCAGATGGAAAAAGACACATCAAGCTTCCTATTGGTTTTAACTTTTAACAGAAAATGGTGGTGGTTAATTAGTTTTGATTGAGTTTTTACCGGCCAACGGAGGAATCCGTGATCACTCCAACATCTCAAATGCCGCTTCCCAAATGATGTTTGATGTGCGAGCTGAAACCTTCGTGGATCTACATTATTATTTGGACTAACGCATAATTAGTGACGATAAATGGTTTAAAAACTCAGTCGTTACAAAATGCCAATTGCGACGCGTCTCAGCCGCAGCCAATTAAAATATGATTTAGGCACGCTGTTGGCCGTTGTTGACTACCATTGACATCATTTCAATTATAAAAATAAAAAATAAAAAAATCATTTTTAAATAATTAAACACATAAGAATTCAATTTTATAATAAAAAATATTTAAGACATAAGAATTCCATTTTATAATAAAAAAATACTTAAGACATAAAAAACCCATAAGAATTCCATTTTATAATAAAAAATACTTAAGACATTATTTTGATGAAAGCATTGTTTAACGCTTATTGCACACGGCATTAACATTTGATTGGTGACTGCTGATGGTTTTTTTTTTTTAATTTTTATCTGTAAAGTATGTTAAAAATTGTTGGAGGAACAACTCAAATTGATCATTTTTCTATATTTTCTGTGAATTTTCTATCATATCAAATATTTCCTTTAAAATTATTTGATCTTCTCAAATCATATGGTGAGAGTTTCTTTTTTTATTTTTTTTTCGACAAAAAAAAAAAAAAAAAATTCATACCGTGAGTAAATTGATACTCCAATGTTCTGGTTTCTGCCTCCCAAAGCTCCCACCTTTTCATCTGGAACAACAAAAGTATTTAACAAAGCCACCATAGTCAAACTCGGGTCCAACGTCGCCATTGTTGAAAACACAAAAAGAAAGAAAAGGGAAAGGAAAATGCTTCCAAGTCCCCAAGATTTCAAAAGCAGACAAAGAAACTCCGATGCATCTATCAAATCATATACAATTATACATAGTACTTTGACTATTATGTTATGGAACAAGAAGAGTACCGGAAATTTCTGAAATAGTAAAACTGGAAGAATTTGATGACCATATTGTTTCACATCTCTCTCACTTATGTACATTTTTTTCACATCTCTCTCAATCTCCGTCTTTTACCTTTCACTCCCCATGCGTTAAACATGTACATTAGTGAATGTAATTACGTACCTTGGCCATACCAAGAGCGAAGGTGAGGACACAAGACGAAACGTGGAACGCAGCAAGCACAAAAATTAAGTATTGGAGTTCATTCGCGCCCTCCCTGGACATCAAAGAAACTTTTCCCTGTTCAGTATTGTTCATCAACCATTAGTCCCATCATTAATTCTGAAATACAGATATAGTAATTAACCATTAAACATGCATTAATCAGTTCTAATTAAGATTGGTTTAATTAATTGTAAATAAGTAGATATATACCTGGTTAGAGCATTTGGTTTCCTCTTCGGCATCACTGTGGGTGGAGCTCTTGCAAGGAAGAAAAGAATCACCCAAGCTTTTAGAGATGCAGATATTTGCAATTGGCTTTTGACCAACGGTTAGTAGCAACGATATGAACCCTAGCAGCATCAATTCTACATAATATACAGAGAGAGACAGTTTCAGAAACCAAACTATCCAAATAAATTATGATTTCTATTTTCTCATGAATATGAATGTTATGGATTCTAACCTGATTTGATCTTATCAAGAGCCTGAATGAGAGCCTTCCTTTTCAACCTATGAAAATACTGCAAAAATGTTCGATACCAATCATCATTTCCCCTTGTTAAAAGTCCAGCTGATTAATCGATATCAGCCTTGCATGCAACAAAGTTAAAAGTTGATACAAGTGATCCAGGAGGGGAAATTCAAACGAAAAAACCTTGCTCGACGGAAGTAAATGTTCTTAACCACATGAGCTACAGAAACTGCTTTCTTAATCAATGCAAGTTAAAATGCAGATATATATGAAGTTTGTAACTTCGAATTCAACCCCTAGATACACACACGCACACAGATATGGATATATAACTGTACGAACCTTGTGTGAAAGATGAAGCAAATACTCTATAATTGTGGAGACCACTATCAACACAAAGACAACGGTGGCTACAGCCCATGTTGGCGTAGCTTCAAGTGTGCTTGCAGCTTCGTTGTCTCCAGCCATCGCTCTCTCTCTTCGCTCTCTGTCTCTCTGAAAACCTAATATATGCTTATTAAGCTAGCTAAATGTAAAAGAAGGAAAACATATAGACCTCCTGGCTCCTGGGACCCAGTGGAGTTCAGAGAAGATGCTAGGTTGGTCATAAAATAGGGGCTTTTTCTGCATGAGGTTCGCCATGTCTGACTCGTCCTCTGTCGTTTACTGTTCTCATGACGTGTTCACATATATAAAGACAAACTCAAGGGAATGGGAAATTTGTACAGTCCAACCCATCACAAGCAGCACACCTCTCGTTCTCTTCCAGATGTGTTTATATATGCCGCTAGCGGTTGTATAAAAAGACAATGCATGCTCCATCACATGTGGAAATAACTAAAAATTGCATGGAAGGATTGCACTTTATGAGACATGAAGAATATTTGTAAATCCAGAAGGGTATTTTCCTGGTTTTTCTTACGTGGGAATGTTAATTAGGAGATTAAGGACTTAAAATCCGAGTTGTTGTTGAATGAACAGCCGTCGGAGTTTCTTAGCTTTTACACCTGCTTTTTTATGTTTAATACTTTAAGCACGTTTTTGTGATTTTCATGGTATATTATTAGACACGGTTTCTTGTTTTTTGGACCACAAAAAATGATTTTCAAGGACACATGAATCCTTGACTCTCTATACATCACTGTAGCAAATTATTGAAAGTAATATGCATCATTGCATATGCAATATGTCTATATCATACGACCAATGCCACACTAATCAGTACGTATTTATAATCAAAATTGATGATCAAAACTAACTCTTTTCAAATAAAAAGTATGTAATTTAAAAATAAATAACGTTCATTTGTTGTACACAGTTGCACTTAAGGTTATGACTTCTTGAGAATGTTGACGACTGAGCTGATTGGATCGTTTATCACATTCTTTAAATAAATAAGAGAATCAAAGGGGAGGATCTTAAAACTGTGTCCAGGAAACCTTTTTTTTTTTTGCATTTTTTTTTTTTGTGGTGAACGTGTTCCAAGAAAATTGCTGAAACAAAGGCTGCTCAAAATATAATATTCCATTAATTGAATAATTTAAGACTTTCAATTCATATGACAGGACATGTTCCAAACAATCGCACACCGTGCAAAATTTTGCGAATTGTGCTGCAAGGAATAATAAAACTGAATTGAAACGTTGAGAAATTCTAATTGGTTTTTTGGAAGTGAAATTTTTTGTGTACTTTCTGTCAGCTTTAATGTTAATTTTCGTTTCAATGTTATAATATATTGTGTAAAAAATAAAAGATGACAAAGTTCATAAAGAGTCCTACTTTTAAGTGTCTCCATAACATTTCTCTTGAAAAGTTTGCCAATCCCTTATAAGATTTGGTCAAAATTTGACAAGGGCAATCACATATTCTTTGAATGATATTCTAAAAGATAAACAATTCAAATCGTTAAAACATATTAATGATTAAGCCCTACAAAAACTACGTAGAACAAATGATGTACCACGAATCCGTCCCCTTTAACAATTATCCAAAAAGCAAAATGAAATTATTTGTTTAAAAAACAAAAATTATTGTACATCTGTTACGTAAAGAGAGGGTAAAAAAGGTAAGCTGAGTACGCCCAAACAACTAATTAAACAGTCTAAACCCAACAATAATTCAAAATTTTAGAGTTGTACATTCTCCAACAATAACTACATCACCAAATTTGTTAATTGTTTTAAATATAATCATAACTATAAACGATAAATTAATTTAAGAAAATAGCAGGTCACTTTTGGACAGAACAAACATCACGTAGGGGCAATAATTTAATTAAATATTACAATCGGGTAGATAGAATTTGCCTTAGTTCAGATAGGCCCTCTTTCAACAGGACTATCATGAGGGTGAAGCAATATTAGTTTAGATTCTACAAACTTATGTTCTCAAAGCTGAATTAACAATACAAATCATAGCCACTTGAAGCGCTTAGTTACAATTTTTGCCTCAAAAATTAAGTTACACAAACGACAGCACACACATAAACCCGAGGAAAACCCGAGCGTCGAACGTTTTCTTCATCAGTACAAAGCATAACTATTGACATTACGGTAACATTGCCTGCAAAAAACGAAGTTCAAACAAATAAACAACCGAACCACAAGCATCTTCTTCATGTTAATCGGGTTACTTGTACGACTTTTGAAGGATGTACTGCGACGACATATTTGGCCACAATGAGTTCCATAGGTAAGGTTTACAAGCGCACTTCAAGCCATACGGTTGGAAGTTTTGCCAAGAGACGGGCAACGAAGAATGCATGTAGATTCCGATGCTAGGTGGTAAACAGATCAAAAACAGAAAGACGGTTGAGCACTTACTAGTTACTGCCGGGGATCATCTGCAACAAGCACAGAATGATCACTATCCTTGTAAACAGCTTTCCATCCTTTCTCCGTGCCAGTCAAAAGCCCAATCCTACACATACCACCCCCACTCGCAAATCAGATAATCATTCGCGTGCGTCTTATACAAGATTAAATATCCCCCAATTCTAACATTTGAAAATTGTATTTCATGCAGCAAAGAGGTTGCTTACTTTAGTACAGGTAATTCCAACTGCTGAAGTCATCAAAGGAGGCTTTGACTGAAACCGCACTCCAGCAGTAGGGGCTTGATCCGGGACACATTTGTCCTCGGACAATGAGAAACCAAAGAGTCTACAGCTACCTTTGGTTGGGGAAACTGAATCCTGACTGCCACTAAATGTTGATCGACTTATAACTGGATCATTTGAAATACTGTAAGAATGCGTGCCTCCATGATCTTCCCTGCTGAAGTTACGTTCACCAAATGAGGATGATGTTTGCCTTCCACCGTCATATTCAGAGACATATGGAGTTCGATTTATAACTGTATGTTCCTCTTGGTTATGACCATTGTATACCGAATTGAATTCCATAACTGGGTTGATTGCTTGCTGGAACATTAACACAGACGATGGTGATGAAACTTGCACAGATGTGGCAGCTGGGTGCACATGTGTATTATTGCTCTGCATCATGGTGGACCATCCATTTCTAAAGCCGGGCACCTGAAAACCATCATAGACTCCAGGTCCACCATATTCATGAGCTTTGTTAGAAGTGGGAGCTCTTCCATATGGTGAGCTTGGAAATATTTCTTGACCTTGCAAGACCTTATGGAATCGGAGTGATTCACCAAAGCCTATGCCTTTTGAGGCAATTTCAGAATCCACAAGTGACTGTCTGAGACCATTACTTCCAGCAGCAATCCCAGAACCACCGGAACCGTGGAAGACTCTCCTTGCTTCAGATGGATGCGGATTCTGAACACCTAGACCACTGAAAGGAGTATCAAACCCCGAAATTTCTTGACCTTGCAAGACCTTCTGGAACCTTAAAGATTCCCCAAAGTCTGATGCTCCATTCCCATCTGAAAAGGAAACACTCAAATAAATCAATTAAGTTGCAGAGATCAGTTTTATGATGAATTGTCACGCTATGATTGCGGGACATACTAGGAACTGGAAATTCTGGTTTTGTTGCAGACAAACCAATCCTGGACCTCTTCAAACCAGTTCCCATTAGGCTATGGGAACTAGAAACAGAACCGGATGGCTCAATTTCCCATGGGGAAACCCTGCCATGCTTACTTGTGTCTATATCATCCCACCTGACCTGTAAGAGCACAGAAATGTTCAAAACCTATATATCTAGAGCCAATGACAAGAACGAATTAAACTAAAAGTCAAGCTATAGAATAGAGGAAACATTGCTTATGATATTTAGGTAAACGACTTTCACGTCAGTGAAAAATAACTCTCACTATCAAGACATTATTGCTCATAGACCCTGAGTGTCTACTCCAAGGGACTACGAGCAGGGTGGCTTCATAAACAATTAAGATAAACTTTGTCGCTACTACAAGAGAAAACTTATTCTTCCAGTCTAAATTTAGCCAGAAACTCTACCAAATCATGACATTTCACATGATATATGAAAATAAGTGTACACAATTCATCCTAGTTAGAACATGATGAAGCTAGCCACTTTGTTTTGTTACCTTTTGCACTCTCAGAGTCACGCTTCAACTATTGTTCAAAAAAAGCTTATCACAGTTTTGTTCATGAAATGGTTTTTGGAATCTCAAAGTAGAAAAACAAATACGAAAAGTGTCCCATAAAAAAGATAAATACAGAATTTATGGTCCCGTAAGGATAACTTTTGGTTTAGTGCCTGAAGTGGATACTGCATAGGCTAGATATAACATTTGCATTCACCACCCGGCCCTTCTCAAGCAGATAAAAGCATACGCACAAACAAAAAAGTGAAAGAAAAAAAAAAGGAAAAAAAAAAAGATATATACAGAAAATACGTACAACTAGGCATTTCCATTTTGAACCAGGCCATCTTATAGGATCCAATGCACCAATCCCTGTTATCAACCCAGTGTATCTGCCAACACGAAAAATTTAATCAAAATTCTGGGCATAACTACAACTATTTCAAAAGTAAGAATGCCAAACCTTCGCTCTGCTGCATCTTCAGTTTCAAAACGCATTTTGAACCTCATTCCAGCAGAAAAGCAATGATCAAGGCTCCTCAAAAACTTACGGGAAGGTATTATGAATTCAGAAGAGCTGGCCCTACAAGATCATGGAAGATTATAAGGAAAAAAGATGCAGAACGAAGGAAAGGTCTAAAGTCTCAAAAGCACAGCAACTTTTGAGATTTCGATAGAAATATGGTAAATGACGAAAGCCATATTACCTTGGATTGTAGTACACATTAAAAGCATTCTTTGTGGATACAGCATTCACCACATCGGTGACAGTGCTATAGTTCAATTGCTGGCTACAAAGAGTTGGACAAGTAGCAGAACTTTTAACCTGGGCTGCCCTTCTAATTCCTAGCCTCAGTTCTCCATCGTCACCCCTATTATAAATACTGGATGAGAATTATAAATAAAGGCATCCAAAATTTCTTTAGTCGAAGGGTTATATACCTAAGAAACAGCACTGCATCTCCAGAGACGAGCTTCTTCTTGTTCACAAAAGCACTCCACCCAGTGGT